GATGCTCATGGACCGGGTATTGCGTTCATCTTGGACTGTTGAGATCAGTTAGACAGTGTCATATCTCGAAGCAATAGTAGAAATGGATAGCTCAGCAGTCTCAGTAGAAGGAACGAACAAAATTACCACACAACGCACCCTGTCTTGTTGAGCAAGAGTAGCCACTGAAGGTGAATCCCCTATGCCGTTGTATACTTTCTTGTGAACCATACTACTACGTACCTTAAATAAAGATTGCGCGCGGGCTGTTGTTGATAGGGCACTATTATGAGATTGCAGGTGTATTATGACTCGCTATTACAATTCAGATCACGTGATCCCAGTGCGCTGCAGTGGTAGGATCGGAAGCCACGACCCAGCCGAGGTCAACGTGTTCAGTCTTCTCTGCAGGGTAGCCTTTCCCTCCAGACAGCTTCACATCAATCCACAACCAGCCTTTGCGAGGGCCACCAAATCCTCTCACAATGCGACGTGCTAGTCGTTACCTGAAAGGCCTTCTCAGACTCTGCGTTTCTCGCTCTCAGGCCTTGCATGAGCACAGACCTGCTGACCGGCTTCGAATTAGCTCTACTCGGCCGCGGAAGGGTCTTCACCACGCATCAACCTCGGCGCTCTCCATTGCCTGGTCCGCTTCGATGACTTGAAATATTGTTGCAGCCTGGCGCAACGTCAAATGGAAACAACAGGCACTCATCTTCATCGACTCTTCCCCGCTAGCGCTTATCCAGACGATGCCCAAAATTGATGAGAGCGACTTGATGCCATTTTTAGTTGTGCAATACTGCCACATGGGTCTTCCCAGTGACATCGCGGCAGAAGTTGTTGAGGTGATCGACAATACCAAAATTGACGCAAGCTTGTTCACGTTACATGGTGCGTCGAAGGATCTTTAGTCAGCGGAAGATCCCTTTGGACGTGAACAAGTGTACTTTCTTGGCACGACCCACAATACAATCAGTCTACTTGCAAGCCACCCGCAACCGTGCGGCACTCATGAAAAGGCCATCATTTCGATACCGCTTTTATGACGTAAAACAGCGTCTAAGAAATCAGAAAAAAATCAAGGATATTGAAGAATACTTGGAGATGCATCGTACACAGCGCTGTTGATTTTAGTGTTGCTTAGGGCTTAATGGGCAGATATATGTATTTGCGGCTGTAGTGTGAAATGGTTGCAGGGCTGGTCTGTGTGAGCGCTCTTTTTTCAAGTGACTGTATGTACTGAAAAGCGGGACTTTTGGGTTTTGCGTAAATTGATTGGCTATTAAACCCTGCTGCCAAGAAAGTACACTTGTTCACGCCCAAAGGGATCACGACCCCTTCTTGGCAAGTGCGTTTTTCATAAGGCTGAGCATCTAATGCCAAGACCCGCACAGGTTTCCCAATTCTGCATGTCATACGGCTCAGCCTCTCTAGCCACAGTTAGTCGCCACAAGCATTTCACGCACGTTTGAGTCCATTGGATGCCGGAATTTGGGCCGCAGCGGCCCGCCTTGCTCTCTGCACGAGATTTCCTTCTGTTTGTGTTGAACTGGCCAATATCGACCGTGCTGCTGATTCAGAAGCGAAACGCCACGGTAGGCCTGGCCAATCCGCATGTGTGCTTAACGACGGCCAAGCTAACAAACAAGAGTTCCGGAGTGCATTTGTGGTGGCGCATGGCAGACACATGATTGAGGCTCTATCTCTTCCGCTTCCGTCTCTTCGTCTCTCGGCCCTCGGCCATCGCAACTGGAGATGCTCATCCGCCAGATGGTCAGCACGAAAAAGAGCGGAGAAATGGGGAGCCTGAGCTGGGGCCGAACAGTCAAGGGTCCAGGACCTTCCTACGCTAATGCCCAGCTGAATGGGCCAATTTCCACGTTTCTGGCTTGGTGCCACTTGGCACAACGCCTTCGTCCAATGGGTGGACGCCACAGTCAAACCCTACCCCGCCTAGTGCGCATCTGGTGAGCGGCTGAGGGCTTGGCAGCTCACGCTAGCAAGCAACGCCCCCGACGCGATGGAGCCTTTGCACCCTGCATTGTGCATGTCGATGTTTGCCTAGCCCAAGGACACTGCGATTCACTGCAGAATGAGGCTCTCTCTGCGGCGCGAGGGCGAAGCACCTGCTGTGGAGGGACAATGGCGCGGCGGGTCGCCTTTAATTAAGCTCAACACCTTTATATATCCCGGAGACCTGCTGCTGCCGTGTAATTGAGGGTGCATCCGTCCCTATCAGTCAACATCCATCTTTCGACGAAATCCTCTGAACACCTGAAGAACTTCCGGTGGTACAGACACAGACACGATGCTTCCCTTAATACTTTCCGCTTCCCTATTAATATCCCCCGCCGTCGCGGCATCCCGCAACGGCGGCCTGACAATACGAGGCGATGGCTTTATCCGGTCCAGCGTGTCGGCGCATGCCGGTGTTGCCCCGAAATTGAGGCATAAGCGGCAAGACGCCGTCAGCGTAACGAACCAAAAGACCGGAACCTCGTACACAGTCGACATCGAAGTCGGCACCCCGGCGCAGAGCATCACGGTCATTCTCGACACCGGCTCCCCGGATCTTTGGGTCAACCCCGTCTGCCAAACATCCGGACAGGAGTCATACTGCGCCCAGTTCTCCCAGTTCGACTACACCCAGAGCTCGACCATCCAGGATACCGGCTACGCGGACGTGCTGAGCTACGGCAAGGGCAACGTCACGATCGAGTATGTCACCGACATGGTGACCATCGGCTGTAAGCACTCTCGTCCGCCCTAGCCACTCTTTCCCGGGCAATACTAACAGTGCGTGAACAGCGGCCAAGATCAAGGACCAGATCTTTGGCATCGGTCTCGACAGCTACGACATTCCCATGGGCATCCTCGGCCTCTCGCCCCCCGTGAACCCCGCCAACGCATACCCGTATGTTCTGGACACCATGGCCACGCAAGGTCTGATCAAGAGCCGCGCCTTCTCCCTGGATCTGCGCAGCGTGGATGACCCGAACGGATCCATTGTTTTCGGCGGTGTCGATACCGGAAAGTACATTGGTGCGCTTGAGAAGATGCCCATGCTCGACCCCGCGCAGACACCGAGCGGAGCAGACCGCTACTGGATCACCATGACCGGCATCGGCATCACCCTGCCCGACGGCACTTCCCAGACTTCGGACCCCATCGAGGTGCCCGTGTTCCTCGACAGCGGAGGCACCCTCAGCCGTCTCCCCACCGCAATCTTCCAGGCCATCGGCGGGGCGTTCCCTGGGGCGCAGTACGACCCGAGTTCTGGCTTCTTTGTCGCCGACTGCTCGGTAGCCAACGAGACCGGATCGGTGGACTTTATCTTCAACAGCAAGGTCATCAGCGTTCCCTATGGCGACTTTATCTGGGAGACGTCGGGTGGTTGTGTTGTCGGTGTGCTGCCGGATGACACCGAGCCGGTACTGGGCGACTCCTTCCTCCGCGCTGCCTATGTCGTCTACGACCAGGACAACCGCAACCTCCATCTCGCGCAGGCGGCCAACTGCGGCACCAACCTCGTTGCCATCGGCTCGGGAGTCAACGCGGTGCCGTCGTCAACCGGTGCCTGCACGGGTTCAAGCCCCAGCGTGACGGCTGGCGGAGGCGGCGGCCTGGATGCTACGGCCACTCGAGCCCCTACCAACGTCATCACGGGATCAAGCCCGGGAATTACCTCTGTTGGGTTCGGTCCGGGCCCGGTCGCGTCTAGGGTGTCGGTCTCTGCTGGTGGGTTGACGAGCAGACCCACCGGTACCGGCTCCAGCGCCGAACCGAGTGCGACCAAGAAGTCTGCCGCCGCTTCGAGTGTCACAATCGGGTATGGTGCCTTGGTTGCTCTCTGCGTCGTCAACCTTGCTGCGTGGGCTTTGTAATGAGGTGTGTAAATGATACCATTCGTGTTTTTAATGTTTCAGTTCGTTCTTGGATACGGTATTACGGAGTACACATATTTTGCATATCATCTGGTTGGTTGGTGTCTTTGGTATATGCTGCATTTGGATATTGGAAGCGTGTTATTCGTTAGAAAGGAGAGTAAGGTATATACATAGACACTAACAGGGGCCATCTCGGGCTTAACTCGTACTTTTCTTCTCACTTCTACCTACACAGTATGGTAATCGTGGCAGATAGTATTGAGGTTGCCTTTCCGTACGTAGCCGACAGCGAGAAGCATTTCGCGAAGATGGACAAGATCCGAGAGATCATGGGACGATAATAAGACAACCCACCATAACGGTTGAGGAATCTAAAAAGTTACTGGTGGAGCAGGGGAGCTCGGGTTAAATTTGCTGCATAGCGACATATCAATGGATGCATTGTCTTATTATTAGATGTGTGAGCTGCCGGTGACTTTGTGCAATCAGTGCTGTGCAGTGCGCGAAAGCGAAGCCACTCTGCCCCCGCCAATCCCCGCTCCGCCCCCCACCAACCCAACGACTTGCCCACGCACCAACTCTTCACCACCCACCACCTGATATCCTTCGATTGTACGTTGTCGATGCAACCATCAGGCAAAGAAAATCCCCCTTGTGGTGTAGTTGGATATCACGTTCGGCTGTAATTGCAAAATATTGTTAACCGAAAGGTCACCGGCTCGATTCCGGTCGAGGGGACTTAGTTTGTCTGCCCTTTTTTCCCCCTTTCCCTAGAAAAGACCATAATTTTTCCTATTCTTTTTTCTTCCCCCTTTCACCCCTCCATCCTTTTTTTTTACCCCTCATATACGGAGTAATACGTACCACATTTATCACGCATCTTGCGAGCGTTCGCAATGATTCATTCTTTTTGGTCCGCACCGCCCCTGCCAACTCCTTTCAGGTTTCCCCTCCACGCCCCTCTAAATCTTTTTTTTTTACACTTGTGTGGATGTCCTTCCCCACCATCAGCCACCCCCTCATCTTCGACCACGACCGGACCAACACCGGGGACGGGGATGCTGCCCCGAGATATACTCACTCCCGCGCGCAACTGCGCTCCGGTTTACGGAACACCACGCAGACAACGGGGGGACCTTGACGCAGTTGGCTAGCGCGCAGGTCTCATATATATATATATATATATGACCCGATGGGAATATCGGGGGTAATCCTGAGGTCGTGAGTTCGAGCCTCACAGGTCCCAACCCAATTGTGCGAGGTCGTTCATAACATCCTTAACTTCCACTTTTTTTTAAGTTTTTAACTTTCTGTTCTTCATTTTTCGGTTTGTGTGTTCTCCAAGTTGTGTTGTGTTCAAGCCATGCATCCATCCATCACGTTCTTTTTGCGTTTAATTAAAGCGCGCCGTACTTTATATTATTATATGCAGAAAACGCTTCTTCCAACATAATCACAATTCTTTACGCACTGCCCGTTACATACCTATAATCTAATCCGCAACTATGCTATCAAATGGATCATGGGAACATTAAGCATGAACGGCGGCCATAAGTCTCTACAACGACCAAACGCACTAATATACAGGGTACTTATCTACGTATGCATACTTATGCAAAACCTAACCCATCCCGTCATACTAGCCATGATTATTCAACTGCCACCACATCCCCGATTTATCCCCTCAAATGCTGTGAACTCTTCTTCCACAACAGCACGCCCCTCGCAGACCTCTTGTCATCTTGAGTTCCAAAGTCCAACCCTAAACCAAACCCAATAACATTACCGTCATGTTCACCCCCATCGCCCTGGCGGAGTGAACTGCTACTGGCTGTGTTGGTGTTGCTAGCAGTCAGCCGAAATTCCCTGGAGCTGCTCTTGGACGGCACTGGCGGTGGCGGGGGTGTACTATTACCCCCGTTGACGATAGGAGACATGGAGGTCTTGGGGACGAGGGAGTATGTCGCCGGCGGTCTGGTTTGCGCCTGCAACTGCGGCCTTGAACTTGCACTGCCGTTGTTGTTGCTACTGCTGCTGCTGCTGCTGCTGATGTTGCTCTGGCTTGAGCTCCGGCTCGGACCGCGGCTATAATTGACCGGGGTGATGTTTAGTCTGGCAGTATTCGCATCGTCCATGTGCTCGCCGTTTCTTGGCGTTTCATCAGGTGCGGCGTCGTTTTTTTCGGTGACGGTGATGGCAACTCCTAACTTCTTATCGCTGCCCTCGGAAGGTGTCGTCCCGTCGTGATCATAACCCCCAATCCCGGGGGTAGAGTTTGTTATCTGGACCCAAGTCCCATCATCGTCACGAGGGTTTCCCTCGTGGTCTCCGCGGTGGTCAGGATGATGCTTGTCGTGGTGTTCCTTTGCTTTCTTCTTCATACGATCTAATACCCGCAAAACATTAGTTGATATGACGAATAGAGACGGCGCAATAGAAAAAAAGGAGGGGGGAACTTCACCACTGATGTCCTGCAAAAAGGTAAACACGGTAAAACTCATCAACAGCATCGGTACCAGCTGACCAAATGACGACGGGTCGTTTTCCGGGTTCTTTCCGCTCCCACTCAGCTGCAGCCAGCCTGACCCATCCACCCAGCTGCGCAGTCGGATGATGTACCATGCCGACTTGACGACCGTCCACACCGCTATCCCGTTACCCGCGACCAGGTACAGGCCGAAAAGGCAATACCAAAACCTCTTCAGACCGTCCGACTGCATTGCCCGCTCCCTGACCTTCTTCCCTATCTTGCCATGGCGGGTTCCAGCGCGCATGAGCAGCCGCCCAATGCTGACCACCACGGCAAACGCATAGAACAGCAGCATGATCAGATACTGCACCCACCCAAATATCTGCCCGCCCCCCAGCAGCCCTCCGGCGGTACCTTCAAACGACTGCTGGACGGTGGTCGTGAAGTGCGACGCGTCGCTCTGGAAGCATGCCGCAGGCAGGAGCATGGGGCTGTACGTCGCATCGGCCGGCGGCACTTCTGTCGGGAACCCGTCGCTGCCCGAGCCCTGATTCGACAGCAGGATGCCCGTGACGAGATATACCAGACTGGTGACGATGATCCGCAGGACGCCCACAAGCCTGTGCTCCCAGTAGCGTCTGCTCCTGCAAATCGTCGCCGCCATCAGGTGCGTCGCGCAGGTGAGCAACAGCATGTTGGCGACGATGTTGTAGTGGTACGCGCTGATCGAACACCCCTTGGCATACCGCAGCGTGATGGCGTACGCACCGCCGGTGAACACCTGCTGGTCCGAGCAGGACAGGACCAAGTGTTCGAGTATCCCGGATATGCTGACCGGCCCTCGTTTCTTCTGCTTCTCGCTGCACATTACACAAACAAAACATATCAGCAGTTCGTGCTAATGTATTTGGATTTTGTTTGGGGGGGGGGGGGGGACATACTCTGGTGTTAACCGGCTCTTGCAACGGAATACGTATTTTAACAACCACCAAACAGTACCACAAATCGACAGTAGCAGCGACAGCAGCGTAACCGCTACAAACGCCCCAAGAACCTACACCACACATCGATCCACCGTCAGTCAGTACAGCCACGTCAGTGTTTGCGTCTTGGGGGAGGGCGTACACCAATACCAGCGATATCTGGGTCGGGCTGAAAGTTCCCCCTCGTCACGTCTCCAAGCGCTAGTGGCGTTGGTGTGGTGTTGTTGTCGTCAGGGATGGGCAGGATAGAACAATTAGGTGTCACGCCGTAGTGGGCTGCGCACTGTGGTATCGAGACGTATGCGCCCATCTTTCGCTTCTTCCCTTCATACCGTCGTGGTTATTTACTGATGAGAAAGCAAATAGATCACAATCGGCAGGTGGGCATCACAAACTTTATTATCTACCGACCCGGCCTCACCCACCATATCATAATAACCTGCCAACTGAGATTGATTGTCGTTGTATGTGCCATACACCCGCATGCATGCCATATGCACATGCACGTTCGTTAGATCCCAACAGACATGGTTCTGGGCTCCGTGAAACCCCGCTCTAACAGAAGCTGAAAAAGCTGTCGATGTCTCACGCCCCCAGTCTCTGCCTCCCTCAAGTAGAAACCCCGCGAGAAGGGGGGCTAGTCATACTGTCATCCTCAGCCTTGCTGCGCCAAAGGACTGCAACGGGTTTCAGCAGGTCAGCCCGTGCGGACCCCAAATTCTGGCAGCCGGGATGCATACAGTAGTAGTAGCATAGCCCCTGAACCACACCACGCGGGGTATTAGCCAATCAGAGTCGAGGATATTGCGGCGCTGTCAATCTCGAACCAACAGCATCGCAGGGGTACAGACGATCAAACGAGCCCGCGCCGGAACTAAAGTCGTGAAGGTGGCATACAATTTAATGTCGTGTATGTCGTGTATGTCTTGGTGTGTTGCTGGAGCTAATCATAGCGGAGTTGGTGTTACCATGCGCCAGTACGTCCGTATGTGACTATCAAATGCCCTAATTATGATTATCTGCGTAACTCTCGCTGGAATCTACTTTATTCGTCAATCTGGATGTGCTTCCCCTCTCTGTCGACTCCCGGCCCAGCCTTCTCTTCGTCCCACCCTCAATGGCGAATGCCGCGCCAATCGAAATCCTTCTCAAGGCCTCGTTGTTGTAACATCCGCTGCATGAAGGATTGCGGCGAAAACGCCCCCACCCCGCTAGGCGTCCTGGGTGAGTAGTGGCCGCTATTGTCCCATTCGCAGTTGGTCGCCCAGCCTGTGTTAGCGTTATCGTGCTTTGTGAGAGGATGGTGCACGGTGGATTGGGGCGGGTAATGATGCTGACGAGGAGCAGCAGAGAGTTCCTCTCTCTTGCTTCCTCGGGCTCGGAGTAGCGATTGCGGAATTGGCGGACTGCAACGACCACCATGCACTGCTATCCTTTCCTTGTTGTTCTCGGGGGTCAGAGATCGCAGCATCTCAACTTGCTTGCATTCGCACGAGTCAGAAGACTCGCATATATCACAGGGAATGGCAATTCCTGAGTCGCGCGAGTCGCGCGAGTTCACATAGTAATTGTCGTTGTCAGCATAAGGCAGATGAGATTCGAATGGAATCGTCGTATCAATACGTAGGCTTTCTCTCCGTGCAAGCTTAGAGCCATTGACTGCCGTAGGGAAGGAACGGGCGAAGACTGGCTCCTCCAACTCCACACACGGCGGAGAATATGAACGACCTCGTTTTCGCCGGCTTGGGATATTCGTGGCCAAACATTTCGCGGCTGCTGCCGCTTCGGTCCTGTTCCGGGCCAACCGTTGCTGCAGAGAGTCCCCAGTTGCAACTGGAATTATCTCGTATGGCGGAGCTATGCTGTTGGATTTCTGCACAAGTGTGCTGCTTCGTCTAGACCTTCGTGCCTGCTTCTTCGTTGGGTCTCCGTGCTGCTGAACGCCAAAGTCCTTGTCGAGTGGCGGGCGGCCGTCAGTTGCGGCCGGATTGGAATCATTGCGGCTCAAACACTGTCTTTGTACGTTGGCTCGATGTGTGTCGAAGACCAGCTCCACCTGCCCCGCCAGGAAGCGGCAGTAGTGGTCATCGATAGCGGCCGGTAGCAGGAGCCGGAGCGTCTCTTGTATGCTGGCCTTGAGCATCTCCTGACTCTCGTTGAACGCCTCCTCAACCTCAACTAACTCGACAACAGGGTAAAAATCTGTAGTTGAGTTAGCAGGTTCATGATCATCCGCCGGGACGTAATAGTCATGGATAACGTTTACCTGGGCTCAGAGCTTCTTGGTCGTCGGGGAAGATCAGTTTCCAGATCCTGTCCCAGGTCCAGCCATCATTGACTCCGGCATTCCCACCAGCCAGGTTCCGATACATGTCGTCTGTTATACCCTCCTCTGAATTTCCGCCCGACCCTGTAGCAGCAGGTTCGCACATGAGCTCTTTCGGCCGCATCAAATGATCATCGAGTGTCGTTTCGCTCGTAAAGGCTGTTTTACATCGACGGCACTGATAAGGTGCGCTGCGACGTCGATGATGTAGCCTGATGTGGCGCCTGCAATGGTTTAGCGGCAGTTCGCAAGTGGTACATCCTCGTCCTTTGGCTTACCTGAGCTCGTTCATGCCGCTGAGAGGCCTTTTAGCACACTGCTCATGGTCACGAATGTTGTAACGAACCGGGTCCCGTCTTCTAAACGGGCAGGGATAGCGTATTCCATTTCCTCGACCCTCGCTGATGCCTGCATTCCCCCGGAGGTCGTCGTGGGACCCGGTCGGTGTTCCTAAGTCTTCATCACGT